CCCTTTCTCCAAAGAAGATGTACAGATCGGCAGTAAATACAGAAAAAGATTCTCACCATTGTTAGCCATTAGAAAGATTCAAATAAAAAACTTCAACTCTCAGTAGATAGATACCTCTTTATACCTACGAGAATAAAAGCCAGATAGTGTTAACTAGGATGCAGAGAAATCGGAGCTTCATAGGCTACTGTTGGGGAAACAAAAAAAATTAAGAGATCCACTATCTACTACCCTGTGTCTTACTTACATTAGGACTACAACCCAAATACTTATAGACTTAGTTTAATTTCTGAGCAAATTCATTTGATGCTAAAAATGTAGAGATTATAGGTTTGATTTACATTACCGGTTTTATAATCAGTTAGTTACCTTCTCTTCTATAACTTTACTCAGCAGTCTCACAAATTATTTCTCTGATACTAAGGGAAACCAGATGAAAAAGTGTATGGATTATTCATTCCAAAACCATCCTGACCTTAGGGGGGAGATAGGGAGAGAAATTCAGATTATAGACATTGTTGATATGGGATTAGTCTTCAATAAAATGCTAATATACCTAACTATGTGTAATTGTCTAAGGTGACTGGATAAATTTTATCACTGAACTCAATAATTTTACCTTACTTTCTTCAATTTTTAAAACCTTAGGAAATATTTGAAAAGGCAGTTAACATAGTTTATAATTCCAGTAATTAATGTCAACAGTTCAAACACTTTAGGGTGTCTTCCTGAGCATAATAACATGTGTTAAAAATCATAGTAGATTAGTGAGTCTTGAGTTTTCTTCCTGAGGATTCATTTATTACAAGACTTCCTTCTCAGTTCTTTTTAATTAACTGTTTCATGTTTTTAAACTTTGACTAATTGTCCTTTTAAAAAAATAATAAGTTAAAACAAGACTTATTATTTAAACGGGTAGTGTGCTGTTTTGATAACATAGAAGTAAACACAATTCTAATAATTCACAAAACTTTGTTATACTCTTCACTCCAGGAGGTAAATAGATAACCCAGTAAAAATAAAATTTATCACTAGAGTAAATTATTTGATATTAAAACTAAAATAACTGCCCTTTACCCCATTGTGTGGTGGTTCTAAGTAGCTATCCTAGCAGTTTGAATCCTGATTCTGCCACTTAGTTGCCGTGGGACTTTATCACAATTACCTGGCCCTTCTGAGAGGCCTTAATTTCTTCATTTGACAAAAGGCAGTAGATAGGATCTAATCTATTTATAGATTATTGTGTAAATTAAATGAGTTAATATAAGGAAAGCGCTTTGACCAATACCTGACACGTGGTAGGCAAAAACCTCCGTAAATAATAGCAAATTATCATCTCAGGAACTTGTTAATTTTTTTCTTTTAATTTTGACATGATTTCAGATTTAGAGAGAAGTTGCAAGAATAGTTCGTTTTTGTATACCCTTCACCCAGGTTCCCCAAATGTTCACATTTTACCATATTTGCCTTTAGCCTTGATTCTGCATATATGTATTGTTACTGTTTTGGTTTTAGACATTTGAGAGTAAGCTACAGACTTAGTGCCTTTGTATCTTTAAATGCTTCAGGGTATGTTTCTTAAGAACAAGTACATAGTCTCACATATTCACAGCACAGTTCTCAAATCAGGAAGTCATTGATACAACACCATAGTCTGATCTAACACCTTGACTCAGATTCTGTCAGTTGTCCAGTGCTTTATATACCAGAGGAAAATCCAAATCATGCCTTTCATTCTTTTGTTATATTTATTTATTGGATTGTTGGGAAAGTCATGATTTATATAAAGAAAAACATGTCTTGACTTTCCTAACAAACTTAATAGTTTTCTTAATCTAGAATTATTCTTTGGGTTTGTTTTGGGTTTTGTTTCTTTGTTGGTGTTGTTTTGGGGTTTTTTTTGGGTTTTCAGAACTTTAAATTTTTGATGTATTCCACAGAACATCCTTCAATTTGAATTTGTCTGATACTTCCTCATGTCTGATACATTCCTTCTGGTAGGAATATCATAGAAATGATGCTGTGTTCTTTTATTTATTTTTTTATTTCAATTTGCTAGAGAGTATGTGCGTTCACTGGGGGAGAGAGAAAGAGAAAGGTTAGAAAGCACGCCCTATGGGGGATAGTCACACCGCAATCTTTTCTTCTCCATTTCTTTTTTTTTTTTTTTTTTTTATTTTTTTTTTTTTTTTTTTTTTTTGGGAGAGGTTTTTT